CACAGATACACGTGGTTATATGGTTCTAGAGAACACCGAACTGAAAGATACATATATGTATCTTTCATTGTTTTTATTACTACAAATAAAATCGTATAGATAGATAGATATAGATTGCTCTATATGACATTGCTAAAAACTGATCAAGATTTTTCCATATGTTTCTAAGAAGGACTTCTTTTCTTTTTTCCAATTATAAAAAAGATATGTTTAAAGGTTTTCATGCTCAGAAAGAGCCATATATGTCAGAAAGAGCACATACATACAAAAATATATGTATAATCATTTACTTGTGTAGACACATATATACACACATATATAATGTTTATATTACTATAATATCTTGATGAAATAGAAATCAACTAACTTCAAGCTCACTCTACTTTTAAAAGCCTGAGGAAATATAAGAAAAAAAAAGAAGAAGCCACTAGGAATTTATTTTAAAACAACAACAATTATTTCTGAGCATGTCCTGGGACCCGTTCTTGTTCACAACATCCTGCCCCAATCTATGTGGGCAAATGAAGACCCACAGTGGTGAACCTGGGACAGCACAGGCCCTCAAACTTTGAAAGAACTTTTGTTATGTTACACTATGTGCAAATATACATTACATAAATGTTCACACATTAAAGAAAGAGGATCATCAAAGGTTGACATGCAGAAAGTTCTGGCAATAAAACCCAGAGTTCTCAGAAAATTCAATTAATCAGACCATAACAGTGCTGAAACACAGATCAAGATTTTCCTGTACAATGTTTCTAAGGAGTGATTTCCTACACAACGTCTCAATATTCTATGCAATATTTCCCTCCTTTTTTCCAATTACAAAAAGATACGTTTAGGGGTTTTCATGCTCAGAAAGAGTAAAATATCTCTCACTGCCTGCTCTGCCCACTCTCTAGGATGAGTTTGAATTCTGCGTTAACAGAGCAAAGTACTGCCCCTTACAGTTGGCTGAACGTTTGCACACACATAATCCCATTTGGTCCACAAAATATTACAGTGAGGGAGACAAATGTAATAATCCCCATGCAGAAACAGAAGCTGAGAGAAGTTAAGGAATGTGTCTAAAGTCTTATGACCAGTCTTTGGTAGAGCCAGACTGAAATACAGGTCTCTGCCTCTCCTCCAGTGCTCTTTCTAAGGCACTGTGCCCATTCTGACTCTCCTCTGCGGTGTGAAGTCAGGGCTGACACACCAGGGACGTGGAACGGCTGCACACACACTGCTTGGCCAGTGGCCGGACCATGCCAATCATTTATTATCCTGAACATCGCTCTATCAGAGTTGTGCATTCTAATCTGGAAATGCATCCTTTTTTTCCTTTTCCCACCTGGTTAGCCGTTTTTTCTCACTTTCCTGTTGATTCATGAATTTCTTGCCCCTAAATGGTCACATTTGCTCTCTCTCCTTGAGATACAATTACAAATCATGGCCTTACTTCTTAATACCTACAAAGCTATCTCTGTGCTCCAGGTCCACACTAAACCTCTCTCCTTGCAGAAAGAGGTAGGGCATTTTGGGTATAAAGGCTGCTGTGTCTCATCTATGACCACATCTCTTCTACAGGTAAAGCTGCCAGAAAGTTAACATGGAACTTTCAAAAGATTAAGATACAATTTACATGCCATTTCAATGGTTTTAACATTAATTGAGATATTTGTTCCTGCCTGCAACTACTAACCTGCTACCTGATTTTTTTTCGTTCTGTGGTTGTAATGAGAAGTTAAGAAGACTGACAAAGAGGTTAAGAAAGGGGTGGGTAGTGAAAAAGGTAATATAGAAGAGCAGTTTCGTGAAAAATAACAAGGATATTTAACCAGTTATTTATTAAGAAAAAATCCCATATTGTAATAGGTTAACACCACTTATGTTCTAAGAATATAGTCGTCTCTCTGATTTGAATTTGTACAAAAGTAACATATAAAACATGCTTTAAAAGGTTTAGAGAAGGATCTTGTTTTGATGACTTAAGGCCACTTCATCCTTCTGCACCATTCTCAGAACTCTGTTGAATGTGGCACATCCTTTGGTTTCAGTTTGCTCTCAGAGCCTCTTGCCAAAGAACATGCAGAGTGGAGGGAAGCTCAAGGGCTCTGGGGTCAGACAGGAGTGTGTTTGAAGCCCTTAAGCAAGTCACTTAAACTCTCTGAGCCTCAGTTTCCTCATCCATGAAATAGGGAAAACAATTCCCATTTCATAAGGCCATTGAGAACATTAAATATAATAATATATGTAAGATTCCTGGTACTCAAACCGCTGTAGCTTTTACTGAGACCCATTTAATATGAAGGAGAATTCTCATAAGTTTCCCAAAGAATGTGTCCTGAGGCATTCATTAAAATGTTTTCAAAAAAACAATTATTAGTCAATATCTAAAAGAATAAGAGAAGGAGAAGAGAGGAACAGCAAACACCATTTGTATAACTTTTCTTCCCTTGCAGGTGTCACTTCGCACCCCTATCTTGAATTGGTAATATTTCATCATTACACTGAAAGCTCCTCGGGTGCTGGGACTAAGTCTCATTTTTGGTCTTCCCAAAACTAGCACAGTGCCTAGCACAGAATATGCACTTAATATACACCTGCTGTTTTCCTTCTTGGTGGGCAACCACTAGCAGAAAAGTTAAATTTCAGGGCTCTTACTAGTGGATGTTCACCTTGTGTAGGGCTCTGCCTGTGTTTTTGATGAAGCAAATTTGTGTCAATAGTATCCAGAAGTGGGATGGAAGGGAGAGCCAAGTTTTCAAAGTAAATGGAGGCAAAGATCAGAAAGAATATAAAAAACAATTGTGATATTTACGAGTCAAGGTATCACTCTAAAGATTATTTACCGTTTTTAAAGGGAGAAATGTATGTTTACAATGGAAAGAGCTGGCAATCACCCACTCAACCAAGTTATTAAACTTAACCTCATTAATGAATGGCCAGATGCCTGTAATATAAAACATACAGCATCACCTATGAAGTAGTCTGGCCAAAAATGTTTTGTCTAAACCTAATCAAACCTTTAGACTGAACTTCCAGTATATGAGAAATACACGGAATGAAGGAACAAAGTGAGTGACACCACGAGGAAATAATAGAATGTGGAACAGTCCACAAATTAACTAGACTTGTCCCTTCTAAAAGTCTATGTGATGGAAAAAGAAAAAAATTAAGGCACTATTTTAGATTATAAAAAGGCTAACAGCCAAATGCAATGTATGAGTGAATCCTGATTGGCTCCTGGTTAAAGAAATAGAGTTATAAAAGACTCTGAGGGGACAATTGTGGAAATTTGAATATGGATTGGATATTTGATGATATTAGGGAATAACTATTAACTTTCTTAAGGATATTAAAGCTCCTGCAGTTATATAAAAAAAATTTCCTTCTTTTTAGAAGCTACATGCTGAATGAAGCCTAGTGGTCCCTGCAATTACTTTCAAAGGGCTCAGCCTCCCACTCCAAAAAATATGTTTCCATCCATCCACACACACACACACACACATAGGTGGATAAAGCAAATGACAAAATGAACAGCTATTGAGTCTAAGTGGTGGATACGCTGGTGTTCATTGGACTATTGTTTCAACTTCTCTGTTTGAAAATTTGTCATAATACATGTTAGAAAACATGGAGACAAAGTAACAAGTAAGCTATTTCTCCCCGCCCTGAATGGAAATTTCTTTCTCTTGCATTTAATAATAAAAATAAGTTATAAAACTCTTGTCCTAATGCATTTGGGCCCGTTACTGGGGACTATAAATGGCTCGGACACCCTCTGTAACAGATTCTGGGGACAATAGTTCTACCGAGGAAACAGTCCAGACCTCTTAATTGGGCATCATTTTCCCTGTCCTTTGAAATCTTATTATTCCCACATCAAAAATCCTATCAGCACATGGCTAATAAATTGTTAAAATGTAGCTAGTATTTGCTTATTTACATTTTTTTATAAAGTAAAATCCTTTATCTTCTTTCAGTTGTGCCCCAGTAAAGAAATATAGAAAAACCAAGATCTCATCCAGCATGAGTGCTATTCATCCTTTCCAAGAGTTCAAATCCATCCCTCAGAAGTTCAGTTTCGAATGGGCTGATAGTACAGGGAGGTGCTGACAACCACACAGATTTCTAGGACCTACATTTTCCTACCCACTTCAAGGGCTGTCTGGCCTCACATGAGCACCCTGTACTTAACCCAAGCACCCCCTGTCCATGGGAGCTGATTCATGCAGGTCAACTCACCAAATCCAAAGGCCACTGCTTTTCAGAAAATAGTAATGGATTCTGCTCCAAAGTCCATGTAATTGAGGATCTTCAACCAGCAATAAAAATAGCTTTGGATAAACTTTACGTGTGATGTTGCTTCTGCATAAAGATAATCTAGTCATTTGATATCACTCAAGTTCTCTTTAAGGTAGTGATGCTGGTGATAGGTAAGAACTACAGGTACTGAGGCAATAAAGCACATTTGCTGTAGTCTGGGTGCTGCACGAGTCCTGCTGTTGGCGACAGGAATGGGAAGGAGCAGGAGATGCGGGCAGTAAATAACCCTAACTTCACTCCGCACACTAAGTACTTCTATTCCTTCCCGAACCTTTCTAGAAGGGCAGCTATTAGAAGATAAACTTGACAAATCAGAGTTTTTTCCAAAGGTAGGCAGCAAGAGAGAGAAGCACTCTATAGTTAAAAGTTTGTATTACTTGGGAAAAGACAAATGTGAAGTGTCAGTCTGAAAATTAGTTCAAAGAACTCTCAACTATTGGATTCTCTCCCAAATCAAAAACACACCACACTAAGGCTAAAACATAAAAACATAAAATAAACTGAAGGATAATGCTTAAAATATATATATGTAATATGTTATAAAAAATGCTAGATATATATATTTCCAGATATATATATCTCCGGGATATGGGTATACATGTGTATATCTCCAGGAAAATGTGAAAGAAGGTGTTTCCTTTTGGCTTTTGAGTCCAAGCTTATCTGAGAGGATCTGAAAGTCTTACCTAGGTACAAGGATGCGTTTTCTTTCTTGACATTGTCGTCTAAGTAGGTTGGTCCCAGGGTATAAATCGGTGTGGAGCCCATTCCAATGAGAATCTGTGCGCAGATGAATAAAGCCACATAGACCCAGTGACTGTTACCTCCCGAGTCCTTCAGGCAGGCCGGAGGCTCCAAAGGCGCCGTGGAGTTGCCGTTCTGACACAGGCCGTCGTTGGAGGCCGAGGCGTTCAGCTCCTGGATCTGGTAGGGAGGCGAGATGAAGTGAGGTAAAGCGAAGAGGGCTGCCCCGACGGCGATGAGAAGTCCGCCCACGGCCAGCCACAGGGGCCGCCGACCCCGGCCGCCGAAGTAGCTGACGAACACCACCACCACCAGGCTCCCGATGTCAAAGCAGCTGACCAGCAGCCCCGACTCGGAACTCTTCAGACTGTAGCGCCTTTCGATGGTGGTAATGACACTGCTCAGGTACCCGGAGACCATTAACGCCTGGATGAAGGTCAGAAAGCACATGCAAACCAGGAAGCAACGGGAATCAGTGAGGACCACGTACAGGCACCTTCTCCCCTGGAGCGTGGCCAAAGCGGAGGACACCGACACGGTTTTGATGACGTCCACCCTGTGGTTACATTCCACGAGCCCTGCCATCTCTGCCGAAGTGGACGGGGCAGAGAGGCTGGGGGCCAACCGGCTCAGGCCTTGCTTCAACTCCTGATGGCACAAAGAATCTGGACAGCCGAAGGCTGGCTTGGCGCCTACACTCGCGGGACTTAGGTCTGGCCGGCAGGAGGTGCTATTGAGGACGGGTAAACTTTGGGACCTGAAGGTCTCTGGTTCGCACTTCTCTGGGACAGCTCCTACTGTGGCCGATGCTTCCGGCTGCTCTGCCGCCTGGGGCTGCAGCCCAGTGCCTTCGTCCATGGCTCTTAGAATTCAGATTCGATTGCTGATCCACTCAAGGACTCCAGCGCTTCTCATCCACCGGGACGAGGGGCTGAAGCTGGGCCCACGCAGTCTTGCCCACCACGGACTGGGGCTGGGGATGCGGAGCGGCGCCGCAGGGCATCCTCACCAGCAGGGAGGCGCCCAGGGCATCCTGACCTCAGACGCTGCCCCGAGGCTCGGCAGCCGCGTACCCCGGGGGACTGGGGTCCGCGCGGTCCTGCGATGAGCCCTGCTTGGCGTCCACCTCGGGGCGGTAGCTCGCGGCAGGAGCCTTGCGCGTCCCGGGCGCATCCCCTCCGTCGCCGCCGCTCGGCCCGCCGCCCGGAGCGAGTCCGCCCCGTGCCCAGCGTGGGGGCGCTTAGCGCTGCTGCCCGCGCCGCATCCTGCCCGGCTGGCTGGGCCAGAGGCGCCCTGTCCTCGCCGCCTCGGATCGCGACACCCTCGGCCGCAAAGCTGCCGACCTGCAAAGCAGAGAAAGAGCAGTCAGCGAAGAGCGGCTGCGGCTGGGTTTGGCGTCCCGGCGCCCCGGGGGCCAGCGCTGGGTGACTTGGACCGTCCCAAGTGGGACGGAGGGACGAGCGAGGAGCGGAGCCCTGGAGGAGGAGGCGGCGGCTGCAGGCTGCAGCCTCTAGTGCCCGAACAAGAAGCAGCAGGCGGTCGGCAGAGACCTTCCCTCATTGTCTATCATGGACCTGCCCCGCCCCGCCCCTTTTGCCTTAAACAGCGATCTGCTTTTATACGTTAATAATTATCGACCCGGCAGCTCTGACTCAGAGGCAGCGTCTTTTATTCGAGTGAACTAATTGCAACCTTTTGGTACCCCCTCCTCCATTACTCAAAATAGAAAATGCCCAAAAGAACAAAGGAAAGTTGGTTTTTTTTCACAAACACAATGCATTCCCGGTCCCAGTTTTAAAAAAGAAAAGAAAAAGAAGGGAGAAAGCTGTGTGTGTAGAAATGTGTGTACACATTTGTGCGCAGGCACGTGTGCGCGCCTGGATGTGAATCCGTCTGCTGCATGAAAGACACGTATTCAAAGCCCAAGACAGCCAGAAAAAGGTCAACGTGCTGGCCTCTTTATTCCCAACACTAAAAATAACCCCCCAGCCCGAAAGAACTATTCAATTACAAATACCAGGGCCATTTGAGGCTTCGGCCCACACTAAGTCCCAGCGCACGGTGTCAAGCGAAACCGAAAATCAGTTTCCTTTGCGTAGGGGTGGGGAAGGCACAACAAACAAAGAGATGCCGGCACGCTGTCACCGAGCGCTCCGGGAGCCCACGGAGCGGGCTCAGCACAGGCGGGCGGGCAGGGAGGTGTGCTATTTACAGCCAGCGCACCCCGCGAACGTGGGCACGGGGTGCATGCGCGCGCGCGCGCGCACACACACACACACACACACACACATACACACCAGCGTGTATGTCTCGGAACCCCTCGCGCGATCCCGCACCCAGCTTGAATTCAGCGAGAACCGAAAACAGGTGTGTCCCTGGGGTAAGCCCCTGCCCCTAATCTCGGGAACTCCCACTCCATGCCTCTCTCCCGGGGGATGTGCACCAGGTAAGAGAAGAGAGCCAGACTTCACTGCATTGGGTTTCATTCGGCGGCGCGCTTTTGTGATGCTGCTGAAAAAATAAAGGAGGAAGGGTAAGGGAGAAAGGCGGAGAGGCCGGGCGGCCAGGGGCGGCCGCTCCGGCGTCTCCCTCGGCTCTGCCGTGCCAGACCCGCTCCCGGATTCCCGGCCTGCCGGGCGCTCACATCCCGGGCTTCCCCGCCGCCTCCTCGCCCGGGCGCCTTCCCGGGGAACCCCACCGGCTGCCGCGCGCCGTGCCAGGGAATCCCGGCAAACTCCCTCCCGCGCCGGGGGCGTCCAAGCCCCTGCCTGGGCCGGCACCTGCACCGCAGCGCAGACTCGGATGGACACACGGATCCCGGCAGGGAGCTCTCGGAGCCGGCGTGGAATCCCAGGGACACCCCCCTGCACACACACACACACACACAGCGCGCGGGAGGACAGGACCGCCGGGGACAGCTCGCCGCGCTGCCGGGGCGCACGAGCTGCCGCTACTCACTCTTGAGTCTGTCGGTCAGTCTGGCTGGCTGAGAGTGGAGCGCCGGGAGGTGGGGACCGTGGAGATGCGGGAGTAGTGGGGAGCCGCCTGGGGAGGCAGCCTCGGTCCAGCCGCCGAGAAGTCAGTGAATGAGACTGTGACTCAGGCTGAACTCTTCCCCCCCACCCCTCGCCTGTCACCCAAGCTGCTTCTCCTCTCCAAGCAGACACACGCGCACAAACGGCCCCGAACGGAGCGGCAGAGGGCGCAGGCGCGCGGGCAGCCGCCTGGCCCAGCCCAGTCCGAAGGCAGGGAGCCATCCCGCTGCCCTTCACCTGAGCGGCGGCGGAGGGCGAAGAGCCCCGAGGTAGCAGGTCTCCTAAAAAGTCAGCTGCTGAGGCAGAGAGCCCACTCTGAATAAAGAAATTCTTTCTGTGCGTTTATTCCTTGCCGTGGGCACCCACAGTGTCTCAGGGACCACAGTAGGCTCTGGGGACTAAAGATGAGTAGGATAGGATCCCTGGACTGAGGAAACCTCTGTCTTGTGGAAGAAACACCCCTGTAAGTAGCCTAAAACAAAGCAGTAAATTCTATGCAGGGTGCTACTGGAGAATCTAATATCCATTAACCTATTAGATCTTCACCTCTAGGCAGAAGGAAAGGCGTGTGGGAAAGCATGGGAGCACGGTGCTGCAAGTAAACAGGTAGTTGAGTGGCAGGGAGAATGCAGGGATGGGGCAGAGGACCAGGCTGCAGGAGTGGCAGAGTAGGAAAGGTCAGCAAGGGCTTCACTGGTTGTGTGCTGTCAGCCCTGAAGGACAGTGACCTTCTGACTCGCTCACCAGAAAGCTGGTTCTGCAGTGGTGGGTGAAGGGAGGCCACACTAGGAGCGTGGGTTAAGTGAGCCAGCAGTCTCTGAGCAAATGTGATGAGGCAGTGTCGGGGGCATGGAGAGGAAGGAACGGATGGAAAACACATTGAGAAGGTAGAAGCGGCCAGACTTGGAAGCTGATATAATCTGGAGGATGAGAAAATGGACCAATGTAGGATGTCTCTCAAGTTTCACGCCTGCGTAACTAGGTGGGTGATGTCCAATGAAAACACAAGAGGAGAAGCATGCTCTTGGAGGAAAGATGGTTCTCGTTTTAGATGCATTGACTTTGAAATGCCTTTGAGACATCCAAGCCTACATGTCCCACAAGCCATTGGATATATGACGCGTGGGAAATTTGGACTAGGGTTATGGACTGGGAGTCATTAGCCCGAAGGTGACATGGGGTGAATAAGGAAGATCATGCAAACTGAGGGGCAGTAGGCTAAGAACAGGGCTCTGGGGGCACCATGATCTAAGAGGAGAGGGAAAAAGCTAAGGCGGGAGATTAGAATCAATGGTCAGAGAAGTATATGAAGAATCAGAAAAGAGCGAGTGTCACAGAAGCCACAGGAGCAGAAAACTTTAAGAAGAGGGTGGTCAGATGCATAAAAGCCTGCAGAGAAGTCAAATAGGATGATTACTGAAAGCAGTCATTAGCTGTAGCAAGTAGGGGGACACTGCTGAACTTTGACAGAGGGAGATGGTGACCTGATGAGGGAAGGGGATTGTTCTACAATTACTGGTGACTATGCTGGCCATCACTGCCATGCTGAAGCCACTTCATTGGTCCCTGGCCTTATCCAGTGAGAGCATTGTCTCCGCTTTACAGCCGTGATCAATGAAGTGTAGAGAGATTAGTAATTTGGTAAAGGCACAGAGCTAATCTGTGGACCATGTGAACCCAGGTACTCCAAAAGTCCATGCTCTTAACCCTGACTCTATACTCTCTCCCTTATCATTGGATAGCAGCTTGACTTTTTAATGCACCTTGAATCTGTTAATTATCTCACTTAGGTCCAGCAACCACCATATCTACAGTTGATCTTTAGAAAACAAGATAGGCCAGCTGACCCGAAAGAACAGCTCATGTATGCTTGAAGTCCATGTTGAGAGACAGTACTGATCTTCTGGCAGCTGCCAGACTGACCGATCAGATGGGGTGAAAACATTCATTTCCTTATCTCCTGCCATTGTCTCCTTCTTAAGAGCTCCCTCAAGCCCACTGTTACTTTTTCACAAACAGACAATATGACTCCAGCTGCCATCCTGCTCAGATTTTAGTCCCCTACTGCTGATAAGGTGGGCGCAGATATGTGGCACTTCTTGTACCTGACTGCTCCTCTGAGCTCATTCTGGTTCCAGACAGAATGAATCTCCCTCCTGTTATAGCCTTCCAAGCTCTTTGGCTCATTCTCTCATTTCGGCCTCAACCCCAGACATCAGTTGTTCTACAGCAAATTCAATCTGTGTCATCAGGTGCCAGCAGAGGGCTTCCTTGCTGAAAGTCAAATAATCATGTCCCTGGAACACGCTGTGTTTATTCATGGTCAATTACCATGGTTAAACTGGAAACAACTCTAAGAACCTATAGATTTTTTTTATTGTCATTAATAGGAAGATCATGATTTATAGATAGAATTTAAAAGGGCCAATTAGCTACCCACATAGGAAACAAGAAGAAAACATATAGCGGAGACGGTTCTTTTGCTTTCTCTTTCACAGTTAAATATGACTTTGGAAAAGGCCAGGTGTGCCTCCATGAGCCATAATCTTTGGATTCGTAGAAAGAAATGGACTCACATCATGGGGTTCTGCTACACCCCGGGGCTTATTTCACGCGATGTGAAAGAGTACAGTTGCCTAGACCAGGATGCTGGCCTTGTTAGGTATATTGGGAGAGGAAGCACATGACTAAAAACTCTCTTAGAATTTCCAGGCTTGCTTATGCTTCTTCTAAGTCATTAATCAGACTAATTTACTCATAAATTGCTTCTTTCCCAATCTTCATATAATAATATGGTAGCCTTTGGAATTACCTCAGGCATTCTACGGGCTTAAAATCTAGCTGCTCTGAAAATTGGGGCAGGGAAAGCAGAAGGGAGCCTTTCTCCACTCCCTTCGCTTCCTCCTTAAAGATGGTTCACTTCAGAGGTCTCCCAGACACAACAAGAAGAGCTGGGTTTTGGTCCAGAATATTTTCTGGGCTTAACATATAATACACAGTTGCCACTACTCTAATTGGATTAGGTGTTGGTTGCTGAAGAGAGGACAAATTGTGCCTTTAAGGTAACTTGTGTTTTTTAATTGAAATACAGCTTTATTCACAGACCCTGAAGAGGTATCCAGATTCTTAACCTCTGTGACATATTTAAATTACATCTCTATTCTTGATTCAAAAAAGTAGCTTATGGGGCCAACCAGGTGGCGCAGCGGTTAAGTGCGTGCACTCTGTTTCAGGGGCCTGGGGTTTGCAGGTTCTGATCCCGGGCACACACCAACACACTACTTGTCAAACCATGCTGTGGCAGCGTCCCATATAAAGTAGAGGAAGATGGGCACAGATGTTAGCCCAGGCACAATCTTCCTCAACAAAAAGAGGAGGATTGGCATCAGATGTTAGCTCAGGGCTAGTCTTCCTCACAAAAAAAAAGTAGTTTGTGATATGACTGATTTCCTCAATTTCTTTTTTTCTTCATTTTAATTTTTTATTTAGTTTAATTTTATTTTTTATTGAGATATAATTGACATATAACA